TACTGAGAGATCCAAAAGGAAAATGGTGTTTGCCTTCAAGGAGCTTATCCTGTCAGGAGGGAGAAGACTCGAATGCACACTGATAATACAGAGAGTAGTAAATGCCCCAAGACAGGCAGAGATGGTGAGGGGAGAAGATGAACATCGGCTGAACCAGTCACAGTCTGAAGAGTACAGGGAATCAGGCCCAGGGTGGGGTGGTCAAGGAGCCCATTAATAGATGCAGTGGGGATGGGGGTGTGGTGGGGGACAGTCTGGCTGTGCAGGTGGGGAGTTAAGGGCATCAGCCTGAAGAACAGTCACACATGATGGTGGAATGCTGCCTAACGATCTTCTACCTCCCTCTAGAAAATCTAAGTGTTACTGTTTAAACAGCCACAGCTGAGGAAGAGGGGCCAGGCTAGGAAGTCTGGGTTACTGTGCAGCGACTTACCTCTTGTCCTCTGAGCCGATTTAGAGGATTTCTGCTAAATCAGGAAGTTTAGTCTGGTGCCTGAAGACGGCAATGAGAGGCTGGGACGTGTGTAGGCGTGTGCGTGCATGTCCATATGTATATGTGTGCATCTAATCCTTGTTAAATCCGTCTGAACTCTTGCCATGTGTCGGGTTGTGTAATAGGTGTGTGCGGGGCTGCACTGTGTTCCTGGGCGGGTCAGAATTTCTTTCTAGGCCAGCGTTCTGCCCGATGACAAGGCAGCTTTGTGAGTCATCTAGGTGCTACAGTGCAAAAGTGTCCAGGGAGAGATCCTCTTTGCTTTTGACTACCTGTTGGGCGTATCACCCCGGTGGGCCCAGGAATACCTTGGAAATGGCGCTGTCAGGAGAAATGCCTGGAGCCACGTGTCTGGCTGGAATGGGGTCATGGGGAGTCAGAGCCTTTGAAACCTAGAAGGGTTCAGGCTCCTGCGTTTACCTGGGCCAACCTCAGACCATCCCAGGAAGGAGAAAATCAGACCTGCTCCGATAGCAGGGTGCCCGCTGCTACTTAGGTGTTTTCCATCGTTCATTCCTGGGGTGAGAAATTGAGTCTTGTGTTTACTCACCCTACTGGTGTCAGAGGGACTCAGCAGGGAAGTAGATCTAGGATTCCAGATGAACCTTTTCCGTGATTTTTGAGCACATACCGACGTGACTCCAAGAGGGCGTGACTTTCTTGATTAAAGTTAATATTCCTTTTATTAAATCCTAGAAAAGATAGGCACGTCAGAGCTGGCCGAGTCAGACTCCTGGGGCATGTTGATGGTATCCAGATGCAATTCTGCAGAGGAATCCTGGAAAACAGGAGCAAGTGTAGAGGAAAGGCCGTGGGTGGTTAGTGGACCGGAGGTCAAAATGAAAATAGTGGAAGGGCCTGAGAGAGATGAAGACAGGTTTGGTTTTTGTTTTAGGGCTTAGGGGTGGTAGAAAATAAAATGACCTTCAGATATTTAAAGGGTAGTTAGGAAAGAGTGAAATTAGATCTGTTTCGATGCTGAGCTGTCACACCCCGCATCAAGGGCTCTGTGGGGCCTACAGGCTGGGAGGCTTTGGCTTTGTATAAAATAATCGCATTGGTTTGAGAGGAGTGCACTGGTGTGGAAGGTCCTCTTTTTGGGGTTTGAGGTAAGATATCCCAAGTTCTTTCCTGTTTGAGAGGCTCCCCTTCCTTCCTCACGAGGCAGTGTCACTGGCACGCTGTTCCCTGCCTGACTATGCTGGCTGTCTTCTGAGCGAAGGTGACCAGCTGGCTCCTTCTCATGTACCACCTCAGTGCTGGATCGGGAGAGGAGCGGGAGGAATGGATGCGGTGAGACAGGGGTGCCCCTGTCTCCAGCCTGGCTGCACCTGCTGCTCCTTCCTGAGGTGAGTCTGCCTGCTAGCAGAGTGGAAAAGAAGCCACAGAAATAATAGCAACAATGACAACAGAGGCTGTTGACTTTTTTTTAGGAGCTGAGCATTTATCCGTGTTTCTCAGTGGTGAGTGGCAGAGCCAAGATCTGAACCCAGGCAGGGAGGCAGGCAGGTTCCGGAGCCTGCACTTTTAATTCTGTGCTCTTCTGCTTGGTTGGCCTGAAATTCCAAGCTTGCAAGAGAATAAATATAAGTAGCCCAGGAAAATCAGAAAGATATTTGTGTCAAGATCACTGGTTCTTTGCTGGAATTGGGCATCAGCATCTTCTGGGTACTTTTTATTTATTTATTTTTTCAATAGAAAAATCCTAAACTGCCGGGCGCGGTGGCTCACGCCTGTAATCCCAGCACTTTGGGAGGCCGAGGCGGGTGGATCACGAGGTCAAAAGATCGAGACCATCCTGGTCAACATGGTGAAACCCCGTCTCTACTAAAAATACAAAAAATTAGCTGGGCATGGTGGCGCGTGCCTGTAATCCCAGCTACTCAGGAGGCTGAGGCAGGAGAATTGCCTGAACCCAGGAGGCGGGGGTTGCGGTGAGCCGAGATCGCCCCTTTGCACCCCAGCCGGGTAAAAATAAAAAAACTTTATCATAAAAAAAAAAAAAAAAAAAAATAGAAAAATCCTAAACTGACTGACTTCTCCCTCCCTCCCTCCCTTCCTCCCTTCTTTCTTTCTTTCTCTGTCTCTCTTTTTTTTTTAATAGAAAATTCCCAAACTATGAATAATTTTTAAAACATAAATGCCAGGTATGCTGTCTCTCTCCCTCTTGATAAACATACATTATCTTGAACTCTAATCAAGAAAAAGAGCAAGTGGTGGTGTCTGCCCTTGGTCGTGGTAGCCTGGGCATCTCTTGAGTTACCCATTGCTTACCTATTACTTTTGAGATGCCATTGAATGAAGTTTGCCCTCTCAGTACAGCCCTGGAAACTGTCTCTCTTTCGCGTGCAGTTCATTTAGGACAGAGAAGCAAGAGTTTACATGGGGTCACAAAGTGTTTGCTCTAGCCATAGATGAGCCAGCCCAAATCTCTCATTTTATAGGCTGGCGGAGGGTCGGGACCTCAACCAAGCCACAGAGAATGGCAAAGCTGGGCCCGTAGACCACGCTCCTGACTTGCGGCTCAGGTCTCTTCCTAGGAAAGTCATCTTTTAGAAATTCTAGTGTCATGAGTAGTTGTGGTAGCAACAGAACCACCTCTCTGTCTGGAAGTCTTCTCATGTGTCTTAGCAAAATATGCTATGTAGGCTGGGCACAGTGGCTTACGCCTGTAATATCAGCACTTTGGGAGGCCAAGGCAAAAAAATCACTTGAACTCAGGAGTTTGAGACCAGCCTGGGCAAGATGGCGAGACCCCATCTCTACAAAGAATTTCTTTAAAAAATTAGTCAGGCATGGTGGTATGCACCTGTAGTCCCAGCAACTTGGGAGGTTGAGGCAGGAGGATCCCTTGAGCCCAGGAGTTAGAGGTGGTAGTGAGCTATGATCATACCACCACACTCCAGCCTGGGTGACAAAACAAAACTCCATCTCTGAATGTGTGTGTGTGTGGGGCGGGGGGGGATATATGTATGCTATGTAATAACACATACTTCTGATTTTTATGGTCTATTCAGGCCGTAGTAGAGAGGCAGCCAGTGTTCATTTGGCAATTTAGAGCAGTTGGAGTGTATGAAGTATAAGCGTGGAATTTAACACCCAGTTTGTTTACAAGATGAACACTTTTTACTGGGCCTCAGCCTCCTTTTGTGAAAGCCATACTGTCTTATGTGGAAAATCTCATTGCTAGGTAAATGAGTCATTTCGGTAATTATAAAATCTGTAAATCTTCTGACACTTTCTGTGTGCTTTTCTGCATGCACATACTCACACATCTTTAGTGCTTTAGCCCAGGAGGCACTGGAATCCTATTTATTGAAATGGATTGATATTGAAATTCCCTAATAGCTCCATAAGAGAAATGGTTGTTCCATTTTGCCATCAAGCAAGACCCAGAGGTGATAAATACCTTGCTCAGGAGCCAAGAGGCGGTTGGCAAGTCCCCTAGTGACTTCTTGGGTTTCTTCCTGTTGTGATTCAGAGCCGGGTCTGCGGAACAGCAGCATTGCACAGAATCACTGAATCACCACAGGGGCTTGGTGGAAGCACAGCCAACCAGTGGCCCCAGACCTGCTGAATCAGAGTCTGCTTTGTTGAACAAGCTCCCCAAGTGGCTGTCACGCACTTTAAAGGTTAAGAGGCGCTGATGCTGGTCTACGCTGCTGCATTTCCACATGGCTTAGCTCTTCTCTCTTTGGTATTGATGTAGACGATACATTTCCTGTTCTGACTGTGCTCTTCTCTGGGATGGGTGGTGGGGAAAGGAGGAACTGGGAGATAAACAAGTATGTGACTTTTATCAGTGTTCTTTGTTCTGCTGTTGCTGGTTTTATGGGGCTAGTTTTCAGGAGGAACTGTAGAGCCCCTGCATCTTATGGGGCTTCCTCGTATTCAGTCAGTTGCTCTGAGGAGGAGCCCAGAACCATCTGGGGTAAGACTGACCCTGCCTGGAGGAGAGGGAGGTAGTGTAACCTGTGACCACTGATCTGCACAGAGGTGGGTGCTCCAGGGACATGCCACATTGGCTAGCTGCTGTCACCGGCAAGAGGCAATCTGTTGACCCAGGGAGTTGAAAATGACTGCATCACTCAGATCCTAACATAGTAGCAGGGAAGGCCGATGTGGATCTTCTCTGAGTCTGATTGGGAGAGGAAATGACACACTCGTTTCTTGGCATCCAAAGCGAAAGCAGCTAGGGCTACCAGGATGTGCAATGCTGTTACTTCATCAGGTGTACTCAGGAGCACCAGGGTAAATTCTGCAGGCTGGGCTGGCTGCCCCACAGGTGCGATCCTCCCAGGACTCATTGAGTAACGTCTGAGGCATGGGCATTACACAATTAAGGCATTCTTAGAGCTGGAAGTCCAAAGCATGCAAGTGATGCACTGAATCATTCACCGTGTGGAAGGAATGTGCTGGCAGGCACAGATTGCTGGCTGAGTGTTCCACTGAAATGAAACTCAAGTGCTGACTTCTTGTTTTTTACCTCCCCACCCCTTCCCTCAAGGTTGGTCTCCGCCAGCTGGACATGTCCTTGCTCTGCCAACTGTACAGCCTTTACGAGTCGATTCAGGAGTACAAGGGGGCGTGCCAGGCAGCTTCCAGCCCAGACTGCTCTTATGCCCTGGAGAATGGCTTCTTCGATGAAGAGGAAGAATATTTCCAGGAGCAGAACTCCCTGCGTGACAGGAGGGACCAAGGCCCTCCTCGGGACTTGTCACTGCCTGCCTCCTCCCTCTCCAGCAGTGACTGGATTCTGGAGTCCATCTAGAGCGTCTTGGGAGGGGATGTGACTGTTGAGAAGCCCTTCCTATCGGACACGCTGTCAGCATTTGCTGCTTCTCTTCCAAGAAAGCACCTCCATTGCGGATGGTCCTCGGGCACAGGGGATGAGCGCTACTAGTTTCATTCGTAGGCAGGGAGTTCTCTGCGGACACATGGTGGTAATCCAGTTTGATGGCTGCAGTTCCTGCTTAGGTGACCTAGAGGTCCTCAGCAGCATCCTCTACACATTTATGTTGAGATGTACCTGCTGGGGATTCATAATGAGAATGTAACAAGCAGATCTCGGTGGAAGGCCTGAGTGGGTGTTTTGTGTGAGGTGGCTTGTAGCCAGCCACTTTCTTACAGATGGCAGAGCATTCAAACCGCCTTTGTGTTAGGGTTCCTGCTTCCAGTTTGGGATGTATTAAAACCACCATTTCATTGCTTCCCTTCCTCTTTATGGTCTGCAGCTTTTCTTGCTGTTTAATGAGCATTTAAGCCTCCTGGTTCAGCTTTATTTATTTGTAAGCTGCGTTACTAACTGCCCAGTGATTTGGTGAAAGCTTTTTTACGGAAAAAGTTAACATTTCTAGTCATCTCAATCAACTGGCTTTTCTCAACCAAAAATTTGTGTCATTCTTTGTCTATCAGATACAGAAGGAAGGAAGATAATACGAAGACATGTTGAAGAGTGAAAAAAAATAACTGGGGCAAGCGAGTGTTCTGTATCGCTCACTGTAAGATGCCAAATGTTTCCGTTTTTAAGATTCTGAATGTAAACCAGTGTGCTAGAAAGCTAACCACCCTCCACGCAAACCAGTAATTACCTTAAGCCTTAATATATTTATTAAAATACTTTATGAGAACATTACACTTTGTAGGTTAAAAATGAGGATAAAATGCAAAACTGTCTTTCTGTTGTCATGTGTTATTTTGTTCTGAATTTGGAATCATCACCTTTCATGACTTGAATGCATTGAGTCCAGTCAAATAATGAAAGAAAATTACAGTTTGTTTTCCTGACACTAAGTGCATTTGAAAGAAAGTTTACTCCTCTGTTGAGCTTAAGGAATCGTTTTAGCAAGAGTAGATCACCATTTACAGCTGGTTCTCAGTGCTCTTCTGTCTTTGAATGCTGCAGACTCCTTAATCTTCTTTCTTTTGGTGTGATAATTGCTCACTAGAACCTATTTCAGGCTGGGGAGAGGAAGACACCTCAACATCAGGCATCGCCAAGTGTTAACCTGTCAAGTACACTGCCCTGGGTCAGGAACTGGGGTGACATACAGAGAAGAATAGTCCTGCTAATTTCCTTTGTTGAAAGGAGTTAAAATGAGAGGTGGCCATTAATTACCTTCAGCACATGATATAACTGGTCAGTGGAGACAAGAAAACTGAAAGCAGTTAAGACCAACAGAGTTAAGTCTGGGCCACTTCCAGGAAGATGTTCTTTGAGGCCGTTCCCAGCTTATAGTGGAGTTGAAAATTTAGATCAGCTGTTCTTGAACCTGACCACTTTAAGACTCACCTGGGGAAGGTTTAGAAAAATACTGATGCCTGGGCACCAGCACCCCCCACCTCCAACTGGATTTAATTAGGAGTGAGGCGTAGGCATCTCTATGGTTCTAGGAAGCCTCCCAGGTGATTCAGATGTGCAATGTTGAGATAGAGTCCTTCAGCTGCGTAATGTTCAAAGTGTGTTGCGTAGATCAGGCACGCAGTCTCATACCACCCCAGCCCTGCTGAATCAGGCCCTGTCTCTTAACTAGATGCCTCTGATGATTCCTTTGCACAAAGCTCAGGCGGCCACTTTCTGTCAGCCCAGTGCCTAGCACGCGGAGGCCATAGTCAGGAGACCCCGGTCCTCTCAGCATGTGTCCACAGTCTCCAGAGAGTGAAGCTCGAAGGACCAGTTCAGGCTTGGGGGAACTCACGGCTCAGAATGGCTCCCTTCCCTGGGTTGCTGCCTCTGGGCTGTTCTGGAACTGCAGTGATTCATTGTGCCTTTGAGTTTTGGGGCTTACATCTCATTATTGCTGGATAGTCTGTCAGAGTTAGGAGTGGAATGAGTCGAGGCAGGCCAGAGGCCTCTCCCTTGCTGCTGGGAAGGGCCAGCACATTCCTTGCTCCTGTGGTGAAGCTGCAAGCATACAATAATCACCACACTTGATACTCCACCGCAAACATAACCCCAAACTCTTACTCCAAACATAATGTAAATACAGCTTGGCAAGGAATTTGATATGGATAAAACTATAAAATGTTTTGTAATAGTTCTTTATAAGAGGTGTCACAAGGGATTAGAAGATAAATTCAACTATTTATTTCCACCTGGTATAAATTATAGCTTGAAGCTCAGAGCGGGACTTAATCTGCTGTTCTGGAAGTTGGACTCTGCTCCCAGCAGAGAGATGGTAAGGCAATCCCACATGAACTGATGAAAGCTGAAGAAACCATGATTTATTCTGTAAGGCAAAGCACGTAGTTGTCAAAGAAAAGAGCCTATAGCTTTCTACAGCGTATGTGCTGTGAACCCAGAATTGTTAATAATTCAAGCGCTGCAATCCACAGTTAAGGTACAGTTCCTCTGTGTCCCTAGCAGAATTCGCATTCAGCTAATCCACTTGACTTGTCACTTTCAATTGCCCCAATCTAGGCTGATAACATTTTTTCAACTAATATTTATTTAGCACTTCTCCAGGTCACATTGGTCCAGCCACTGAGAATGATGTAAAGAGCCTTGGGCAGATGTGACAGCTACACAAACAGCCAACACATATGGTTAAGCATTGCCATCATAACATCTGCGTGGGCTTTGAAGGAGGAATCAATTCATTACGAGGAAAAGAGTGGGAAGGCTGACGGAGTGGCATAATCAAACTCCCCCCAGACTTTTATGTCTAGTGTTATATTTCATAAAACGTTTTCATTTCTATAATGAAAACACAGGTTAAATGATTTGCTGAAGGTCATGGCTAAATGGAGGCAGAGCTGGTGTTCCTTCTCAGATGCACTTTGTGCTCCAGCTGCATTTAAGGCACAGGCCAGTGCTGCAGTATGACATGAAATCTAGAGAGATTGTGTAACCCTTTAATCTTATGTGACAGTGCTTTACTATTTAATGATTTATTGCCTAATTTAAAAAAAATCAAATCTTGGTCTGGCTTCTCTGTGGACAGGCCTAATTTCTTTCATAGCCTGTCGTTAGGAATATATGCCAAGTGTGTGGATGATGAGGAGGCTCCACAGCATCTTAAGTCACTTCACTGTAGATGAGTTTTGGCCATTTCATGTCATTTTTCTGCCCAAAGAAAACTTAATGATTCTAAAACTCCAAGCGTGTACAGTCTTCTTGTCTTCATGAATGAGTACACTTTCAGTGCAGAGGTAGTAGAGGTTCTGATAACCTCTGGAAGATAATATCTGGAAGTTGTACCTGATGAACAGCTGACCCCTGCTGGGTGTTGATTTCATGGGTGTGGGTCTTCCCGCCACCTGGTGTGGGCCTTGGAAATAGCTTCAGCAAACAGCCTGGCCGATGCCTCTGTTCTAGCCAATTATGATAGGAATGCATTACTTTTCTGCTGTACCTCAGCCCTCCAGACTTCTCTGGCCACTGGTAAACTTAGGTCAAGTTCCTAAAACCCAGCTTAATTCTCCTGACTGATCCCCTGGAGAGCTAACACAAACAAGCTCGGCATCTGCAGAACGTTGAGCAAAGCTAACAAAGCAATATTGGCAAAATAAAAGCATGAAGCAACAGTGGAAGAAGTGATAGCCTGGGGGCAGCTGCCCGAGGAGAGGAGAGGACAGTGGTAAGTGCTGACTGGAAAATCATGCGTCCTCGATCTCAGGCAGAAGCTCCATGGCCCCATCTTCTTGTTTCCCATTCTATCTCCAAGATAGAGAAGCTCTAATAAGCTCAGTGAGGAATGGAGCCCCAGAAACCATTATATTAGGAAAGTAGATTTTGACGGGAGGAGCTCTTGCGTTAGAAACAGGCATGGTAAAAGGAACAGTCACCATATAGCCGGAGAGCTCTTCACAGTTCTCTTCCCAGGCCACAGCTTAAGAGAAGGGAAATTAGAACTCAACACCTTTGATCAGTTCTGTTCTAGTTAAAGAAAAAGGGCACCTTACCTTTCATTTTCTTTCTTTTCCTGCCCTTAGGATGATGAAATGTTGGGAGTAGGGCTCAGGGAGAAAGGGTGAAAGAGGAGACCGTTTAAGATGGTATCTAAGCCTGGGCAACATGGCAAAACCCCTTCTCTACAAAATGTAGAAGATTTAGCCAGGCCTGGTGGTGCATGCCTGTAGTCCCAGCTACTCAGGAGACTGAGGTGGGAGGATGTCTCAAGTCCGGGAGGTGGAGGTGGCAGTAAGCCAACATTGTGCTTCTACACTACAAACGGTGACAGAGTGAGACCCTGTCTCAAAACACAAAACAAACAAACTTTTTTTTTTTTTTTTTTTTTTGGAGACAGAGTCTTGCTCCGTCATCCCGGCTGGATGTAGCAGTGTGATCTCGGTTCACACAACCTCCGCCTCCTGGGTTCAAGAGATGCTCCTGCCTCAGCTTCCCCAGTAGCTGGGATTACAGGCATACACCACCATGTCTGGCTAAGTTTTTTTTTTTTTTTTTTTGTATGTTTAGTAGAGATGGGGTTTCACCATCTTGGCCAGATTGGTCTCGAACTCCTGACCTGAAGTGATCCACCCTTCTTGGTCTCCCAAAGTGCTGGAATTACAGGCATGAGCCACTGCACCTGGCCTAAATTTTTTTTTTTAAGGCCAGGCGCAGTGGTATCTAGAACATTGTGTTAAAGTGGCAAGATGGTATCTAAAACACTGTTTGGTGCCAGAACATTGTGTTAAATGTATCTAAAACATCGTTTGTATTAAAGTGCCAAGAAAGCTCATTCAAAATTCCTAAGTCTAGCACAAAGGTCGAAAGGCCTCAGGGATCTGAGGTTGCAGGGCAAGCCAGCAATCCTGCCCATTTGTTTGGTGAGTCCCTGTGCGTACATGCTTCGGGAATCTAGATGGACAAGTCTGGAGAATGAGGGTGGGTGCACACCCACCAGGCTCATCTCACAGTTACTGTCATTACAAGCACGTCACTACCAGCAACCTTTCAACTGGGCACTGGTCCTCTTTGGGACTGATCCCCAAAATTCTTGCTCTATTTGCCTTCTTTGGCAGAAATATGAGGAAAGGCAGGCTCAGCTCAATCCCCCTCCAGTCATACATACACCATCACCATGTGACTTCTCTTGAGAAGCTTCTATAAGATACACCCTGAATGACTGTCTCATTGGTCAGAAATCTGCACAGTCTTAGCTACCCTTACCAACTCATTTACATGTACAGGGAGCTCCAGTTGGAAGGAGCTCCAACATAAGACCTGGAAGTTGAACTTGTCTCCGCCTGGTGCTGGAGGGAGAGTCCAAAAACACCCAATAGGGTTGGAGACATGTTCTAGACCACAGCTATGTTTTGTCATGTATTTATTAAATGGATTGATTTTTTTTTAAATTATACTTTAAGTTCTGGGGTACATGTGCAGATCTTGCAGGATTGTTACATAGGTATACACATGCCATGGTGGTTTGCTGCCTCCATCCCCCCGTCACCTACATCAGGCATTTCCCCCAGTGTTATCGCTCCCCAATTTCCCCACCCCCTGCTATCCCTCCCCCAGTCCCCCACCCCGAAACAGACCCCAGTGTGTGATGTTCCCCTTCCTGTGTCCATGTGTTCTCATTCTTCAACACCCACTTATGAGAGAACATGCAGTGTTTGGTTTTCTGTTCTTGTGTCAGTTTGCTGAGAATGACAGTTTCCAGGTTCATCCATGTCCCTGCAAAGGACATGAACTCATACTTTTTTTTTTTTATTGCTGCATAGTATTC